CTTCCAGAATGACAGAATTTGTCTACCACATGTAACTTCCCTCACCCCACGCCTCCTCCAAACTGGGTCGGGCTCCCTGGAAGAACGCAGATTTGGCTTTACGAGGCTGTAGATAGCAATACCAACTGCTGAGTCTTTGCGTTTGGCTCCTTACGTTTCACTTTTAGGTGGCGCGTTCTCAAATTTGTTTCTGTAAGCATGCGAGCGAGACACTCTTGGGAAAATATAAGAGGAGTAAGGCCTCTGGGCCCTCTCTGAATCATCAGCATCCTCATGCAGAGCAGTGCCTGAGGTTGACATGGCCTCCCCTACTCTCGTGGACACAGGTAAATGGGTATTTCTCCACTCCCACCACCTCCTCCTGAGCTTAGTTTTCTGTGATCGACCCTAGCACGGCCTAGAAAGCTACGGGATGTATTTCTTTACAGGACAGTCATAACCTGAGGAATGCAGCTTTTCACTGCAGAGTGAATTCAAGAGAGAGAAATTAATTACCGAAGTCAGCTGAGAGGAAGCGGCTTCCTTTAAATCAGAAATTGAGAACATACACCTTTTAACTCATGCATTAAATCAGTGCCGTGTGCCTTGAGCCCTGGACCACTTGGAGCTCCCACCGCAGCCAGCAGGCATGGAGGTGGCGGGTGTTCATTTCAGCGTTGGCAGGGTTCACCTTTTGGGGTGGGATTGATTTCTGGAGGCCGCAGGGCAGGACATTTCTGGATCATTCATGTTAACGGCATTTCAGCAAGTGTTTTGTGAATCTGGCCACAACAACTGAAAACGTTCTCTCCCGCGTGTTTAGGATAAACACATTTTCAAGGGAATTTCAGTTCTTTGATATAGTGTTTACTCTATTGTTTAAGAAGAAGGGATGGTAACAGGTTTGCGCAAGAGGAAAGAAAGCTGCAACAAAAGCACAGTGATTAATGCCAGGATTAAACTATCTTAAGGCCCTTAATCAACGATGCCTCTTTAGAAACGAGCAGAGCTCCCAGCCAGGAGTCTAGACGTTCCTATCTAAAAGAAAGGAAACCCAGACTCCAAAGAGGACTTTTGGGTGGGTTTCTTCCGCAGTGGACGAATGCTTCTGACAAACCCGGGACTACGGCCTGGCTTCCTCCTCTTTGAGAAGGTCCCCAGGAGTTGCGCTTTCTAAAGAGCATCCAGGTGGCACCGAGGCAAACCGCGTTCTACCGCGGCTAACACAGCAACGCAGCAAAGTCAGACAAAAGAAAAGCAAGCTGACAAGACCCTCCTCCTCCTGCCTTCTCTTTAACGGGTCTGTAAATGCGCTTGGCAGCAAAAGCCAGCGTGTCGCCCTTCCAAAGTAAATAAAATAAAACCCCGTTGCCACATACTGCACCGCAGAAGAATGTCAGGACGTCTGGTTTGGCTACGTGCGACGCTAACAAGCCTCGCCACAGCAAGGGAGCGGGGGCAACGGCCCAGAGCAAAAAGTACATGGGGGAACTTCAGAGGAAAGGTTGTCTCTTTAAGCAACAAAAAAGACGACTTCTGGTCTCGGGTAGGAGAAACGAGGTTTCACTCCCTCCCCTCCAGCTGTGGGAAACACGTTAAGACACCTACGTAACTCCAGGTACGGGAGATGTCCAGTCCTACTGATAAAATCCTTTAAGCTGCTTACAGGACTTGCCTTTTATTGATTAAACAACTGCTCCTCCCACCCAATTTTCCTTCACTTTCCTGTTTAAGATCCATTTCGGGAAACTGTAATGAGCCCCATAATGATGTCAGGCACAATAACAGCACCCAGTAAAGAGGGGACCCCAGATTGCCGTGGATCCCCCCCCGCTATTGCTTTCTGCACTGATGCCCCAATGACTCTACTAAGCAGTAGCTAAATGGCCGCAGCCGTTTAGACCTCAACGCTGTACTGTCACACACAACGCCATGCCATCTGGGGACAGGGTTCCTCTGAAATCCCACATTTTGCACAAAGGATGGGGATTAAGCGTTTGGAAACACACGAGCGGTGCGTCACGGTGCAGTATTTGACAGAGGTCAAGTGAAAACCTGACGTGTGAGGCCCCACTTCAGCAAGAGAGACTGACTGCCTGGAAAGGATTTGATGGATGGAAAGCTTAAGAACCGCACTGGACCCATTCATATATCCATTTGTTCTCCTTTGTCACATAAGGCTTCTTGCAGGAACACAAACATATAAAGACTCCGCGTACTCCTGCCTCCAGCAGCCAAAGCATCCAACATCTCCCGAGCACAATGGGGAAGCAGTGAAGCTCCTGAAATCACTCCGCACGGCAGCAACCTCCGCTCAAACCAGCTTCACAGCTGCCCCAAGATATTCTAGCTGGTGACATGTCTTTGCAAGGAGCCATCTGCCAGCAAGGCTGCATCCACGCCCCACCGATAGTCTTACCACCTCCACCTTGTAGGCTATAGAGGCAGGAGGCACGGCTGAGTTTTCACCGGTGGGCACGGCAACTCCTGCTACTCGGAAGAAAATATATCCCTTGTACACACGCTCACGCCTTCTCCTGACCGCGTAACCTTGCCATGACAAACTATGAGCCCCCAAAGCAGGATGAGAGCACAAATTTCACTATTTTAGCAGGCATAACCCACTGAGCTGGCTCAGTACCCACCTGACATACCAGGAGGATGCCCATGGCCCTGGGGGGCTTGGGGAAGCATCCACCAGTGTATGGCGGCTACCCAGAAGCAGGCACAGATTCACCCTGCGGAAAAGCGCTGGGTGAAGACGGAGAAGTTAATGCAGGTGAGAGCAGAACAGCTTTTTACTCGCCTCATCTCTCGCCGGGTAGCCCCCGGGTACCGAACGTTCCCGTGCAGGAACGTCGGGTTCTCCCGCGCTCGCGCAATAATGCCGGGACTGTTCCTGAAGGCCCAGGGAAGTTTATTTTTACAACTCTGCACAGCGCCTGCAAATCTTTCAGTCGCACAGCATCTGGTGCAGGCACTGCCCTTTGAATGGCTTTTCTGTTGGTGCAGTAATTAAAGGTATCCCAGGTGACACCTGATCCCTTATCAAGTTCATTAATTTAAGTGGAGTTATTTGGCTCTCTATTCTCTACGCTTCATAATGTATTTCTAACCTTTAAAGTGACATAGGCAAGCAGCAGATTTCAGGGGTGCTTATTAACAGCCTATTAAAATATTTTATGGCCTTTATTTTTACATTGCCATAGGGAATCGAGTATTTTGCTGTTGTTGAGCTGGCTCAGGATTTATGTTGCGAGAGCTTCACCACAGCCGAGCGCAGAACGGTGCTCGGAAATGAACCGGGAGAACAAACTCCCATTCAGCTCCCCGCGTGCCGTAAAGCTGTCACGCACGCCTCACAGCAAGGGGCCCTCCAACGCAGGCCTTGGGTTTGGTTTGTTTTTTTAAATATAAGCTGATAAGGCGAGACGCACCACTTGGGAGCCGTGTTGAGAGCCACCGAAGTCAATGTGCCTCCTGAGAAAGAGACTTTGGGGTACGTTCCCCCCAACGCTGTACCCCCACGAAGCTAAGCCCAGAAAGGATCTTCCTGGTCACCCCTGAAATAACACGCTCTGTGGCTTTTTATTCCAGAACTGCTGTATCACCGCCACAGTTTGCAACTGAATAAGCGCAAGTGACTTAGGAAGACGACAACGATCTTAACTAAAAGATTTCCGGAGATGAAGGATCCCTCACGTCCCCAGCCAAGGCGGTTACTTGAGGGTGAGTTCCCTTCTCTGCTAAAGTTCTGCACTTTCTCCTAACTTGGGCATATCTGATGCTGAAACAACACATGCTTTTGATTTAGAGGCTCACAGAACTTCTTTCTGCTTAAGTACTTACAGATTACAATCAAGCCACTTCTGCAATTTTTGTTCTGACAGACTTGGTGGACGGAGCTCAGGTCCTCCTGAGTTCACGTTACGCTTGCTGCGTTTTCTTAAACGCAAAAAAATCATTTTGTGACAAAGCAACAGGCTTGGAAGGCTATTAGCAGTGTATCTTAAAGCATTTCGATTGCTTGTGCGTTCAAAACTTTTAATGAAGTCAAATCTGGAATAGACACTCATCTGCCAAAGGACCTATAAAATATTTTACAATGATGCTAACTGGTTGCATAAATTTCCTGGCATTTTAAGCAAAGATACTAGAGATTATTACAAGCAAGTTTATTCGGTAAGTAATTATTATCTCTGCTTTAATTATAAAGGCAGATTTTATGCGAGGAACCTCAGCAAGCCTGTTCTCAGAGAGCAACCCTCTCGCGCTAACGCACGCCTAGCCAGCGGCCCCCGCCCCCCCCCCCCCAGCCCAGCCATGGGGCAGGAGAACCACCAACATCCAGCAGCGTCGGACAACGCTCCCCTTCTCTAGGTGCAAAGCGTCAACGCCACCAGTCCAGCTTCCTCCTCCCCGAGTTCGTTAGACGGTTTGACTGATTAGCAGGCTCTGCATCTTATCGCGCGCCGCACCTGAAATCCCCCTTGCATTTTTTTTTTTTTTTTTGAAGCGAGCAACGAAAGCCAGAAGGTACCTGAATAAACAGGCGCTGACGGAGGCTGATCAACGTAGCGAGGCAGCTCGCGAGGCAGCGAGATGCCCCCGCG